CCCTGCCCATGGCAGGGGGGGGGGAACTAGATGATCTTTAAGGTCCCTTCCAACTCCAACCATTCTATGATTCTATGATTCTGTGACGAACACAAAGTGAAGCACTGGACTTCGAAACGGAAAGGAATTCATGCCTATCTCAATTCTAGGGGAGAAATGGAAGATGAGCTTCCTGACTTACTTGGAAAGATCTCTGAGGAAGGTATTTTTGACAGAATGTTAAACAAAACACATCACCACCACCAGACTGTGGCATTTCTACTTATTCTGTTTACCTGATGAGCTTCATCCCTTTAATTTAAATCGTCCGTAGCAGGACAGGAAAATATGATTTGTCAACATTAATATATGAGGAAAGATTTTGGAAAATGTTAATAATTCTACTATAAGGTAGTAGGCAATTAGGTAATAATTCTACTATTAGGAAAAGGTGAAAGCTGGGTATCTCAGAGAAAGTTGTCTTTCATGTCTTCTGGCTCCCTAACAAAGGGTAAAGGGCTTCATTAGAACAGGCCATGGTTGTCACCTGTGGGGCTGGCTCAGGGAACAAGCCTTTTGCAACGAGCATGAAAACTGATACATGCTTCCCCAGTGTGTGAGAGCATCATATACTCTACAATTTCTGGAAAATCAATTTCCCAGAGACTCGTGTCTCTCTCTGCCAGGAGACAGAAGTCCTCACAAGGATGCACTAAAGAGCAGGTGACGCAAGGAAAATGGATGTCAAGGATTTGTTTAACTGTCCCAGAAACTCTTGATTAATCTTTTTTTTCCCACTTATTTTTCTCCTGATCTTATAGGGGAAAGGAACAAATTTTAGCAATAAATACACACAAATTCAAAAGCTACCAAAAGTGTAATTACAAGAAGCAGAAACTCCCTTGTGAATTAGTCTCCAAACATGTTCCGAACCAGCCGCTGTACGACGAGGGAATGCCAGCAGACAACTTCCAGTGGTTCCTCTGGCATGCAAAGTTGTTGTGCTCTTAGGGTCCCTATTAAGGAACGCTTGTGTTGAAAAACGGTCCAGAAGTAGTGAAACACAGGAATTCTAGGGCCATTACTTCCATTAGAGTTCCACCAGGATTAATGAGTTCAGAAACTGTCTTTAGTATTTTCAGCAGAGATAGCAAAAAAGGCAGCATCTCTGCCAACACCGAACCCATGTCTTGCACACACAGTACCAAGGACCAGTCAGGTACTGCACTGATGCCACACGTCAGAAATACAGCCAATGAAAAGTTCGGTTTTCCTGCAGTTAGCAACTTTCCCAGTTGGAAATACATCCCCCTTTTCCTTTAGTCACATCAGAGAGGCCTACATCGCAGCAGACTTGCATCATATCCGTTTATAAAAACCCAGAGACGATCCCCTGCTGCTGCCCCATGTGTAACGCCTAAACTTTCTGCCCCGCTGCAGCCGCCTGAAGAGCAACGTCGACGGCAAGTTCTTGGTGGACGGCGTGCCCTTCAGCTGCTGCAACCCAAGCTCCCCCCGGCCCTGCATCCAGTACCAGCTGACCAACAACAGTGCCCACTACAACTACGACTTCCTGACGGAGGAGCTCAATATCTGGGTGAAGGGGTGCAGAGAGGCCCTGCTGGATTACTACACAGCCATCATGAGATCCATCGGCATTGCGGCGTTGCTCATCTGGCTGTTTGAGGTAAGGCTCATAAAAATGGTCTCTGCCGGATGAATCGGAGACTTTCTGCTCTCTAGGATGGGGCACCATTAGTGTAACCTATAAGAAGTGCCCTGGTATCCAATGTAAAGCCCACAAGCACTTCAAGAATGTTGCAGGACTTCTGCTGGTGCAGAAAGCTTTCCCAAAGTCCCCAGAGCAGGAGCAACTCGCACTGACGATGAGAACGATTAGAAATTATATATATAGTTCTGTATATTGAAAAAGATCTGTAAATAGCCTATAGAATACTCCCTTCCCTGAAGCATTTATGGGATCAGATACAGGATGAAAAACGCAGTGACACAACTGCAAGGAAATTAGGTGAGAAGGTCTGAGAGTTGTTGTCAGTCAATATTAACAAGGAATATACAAAAGTTTTGGATGCCACATCCCTGGCTGTCATCAAGGCCAGGCTGGATGTGGCTTTGAGCAACCTGGTCTAGTGGAAGGTGTCCCTGCCCATGGCAGGGGGGTTGGAACTAGATGGTCTGTAAGGTCCCTTCCCGCCCAAACCGTTCTGTGATTCTGTGAAAACGTGAGAGGCCTTTGGCTGAATATATTCATTTTATTTATAGTAAAAATTGAGCCTAGGTGTTAATATCCCAAAGCCTCCCTTTTACGTGATGTAGCTTCACCACACGGGGAGGACTTGCACACGTGGCACACACTTTTCAGACGCAGATTAGCCTGCTTATTATGCAACCCAAGTCAGCATGTTGCAGCGAGCATATACACCTGCACAGATGCTGTCCTTCGGCTGGCGACTGCAAGTTGTCTGGATGTTGTCACCAGAAAGTGAAGGACCCCCAGTGGCACAGGCTAAAATATGGTTTTCTTCCCTTTATAACAAGTTTTAGTTTGCTGATTATTGCTCTATTGCATAGCTATTAGCACTGTAATTAAAACAGTTTACCAGGGCCCTCAAGCAGTGCTAGAGGCCTTCGGCAGCACACGAAAAAGCTGTGAGCTGGCTCTCTGTGCTCCCTGAGAGGCTGACAAGCTGGGCCTGCTGATCTCAATTCCAACAGAACGATGAAAGTGGGGCTTTTTCGTAAAGTTATACCTCTGCTACAGGCCATCCTTCTCGATTTTACTGCATTGGCATATAGGACAGATATGGCTTACATATGAATGATTAAACTTCTTGGAAATATCAATTTAATCAAGGTCAGTGGAAAAAAATCCATGGAAATTAATAATAATCAATTGTATAGATTACAATTTAATTTTTTTCCCCAGTGACTGATGGTTCCATTAATTGATCATCCATCAATTACTTGTAGTCTCTAAGGCTGCAGTGTTCCAGAGTAATTCTAGGTATTTATGTGCTAATGACATGCAAGTGAGAATGCTACCCGGAGAATGGAGAGTGAACCAATCAATCTCTCCCTGGTATTCTAAAAAAATGTAATTAATTGGGAGAGTGGTTAGGTAGATGGCTGGGATAAAGCATTTGTCTGCTTTGCTCAATATTCATTACAAGGCCTGTAAATACACAAGTCAGAAAGCTGATGTGGTGGTAGGGTGGAGGCTGTGATTTAAATTCCCTGTTTAACTACTGTTTCCTACAGGTCTCTGTACTTATTGGTGTCCGGTACCTACAGACAGCCATGAGGAACGTCCTTCTGCTGGGAGACCTGGAGGGTGAATCAGATGGTTGGTTACTAGAAAACAGCTTTGTGGAAACTGCCAAATACAACATCAACATCATCAAGAACCTGGGCAAAGCCAATCAGATCTCCACTGTCTCCGGCATGAACGACCCCAACATCGATGTCCAAAACACAGACTGTGGCAAAAGCAACGTTACAACAAAATCTATCCCAGCAGCAAGCTAGAGGAGTCTTCAAAGAAATGGCATCACAAGGGTAGCGTTGACATATTACAGTCTTAACCACTTCCAGATTTTTCACTGGTGAGGAAAAAAGAGGTAGGAAAACAGAGGTAGGAAATCTAGTAAGACAACTGAAGAAACCACAGACCGGTGACAGCTCCAAAAATGCTGATTCTTCTTTGGTTGGATGCATTTTCACTCGTTCTTGTGAAATCCCTGATTTTCAACACTGCACAAAACAAACTTTTGGAATTTTTCTACCCTGCTTACACTCTTAGTCTGAATACGCCAGAATCATCATTAGGCATGAGCCAACATTCCAGATAGGGTGGGTCTACACCTGCTAACCTACGGACTGATCTACCACATACCAACAAAGTTTGGCGCTACAGCTACAGAAATCCCAAAAGAAATGATTACGCTGGATAAAAAGATTCTTTAAAAAAAAGACCAAAACTGCGAAATGAAAACTCTCTTAGTCCAAGGTCAGCTGGGGGAAATTTTATTCCAACTGAACACACACGGCAGCCCGTCTGAAAGAACCTACTAGCCTGGTGAAACTGAGTTGAAGGCAACAAAAGTTGGCATAAGGTATTTCGCTTCTTTTTTTCCCCAACAGTCTGGAGTATCTCTTCATCCCTCCCATGGTTTAGAGAAAGGCAAGTGCCATAGCTGCCAGAAAGTCAAGGGGTACTGCTGAAAGGAGCTCTCTGCTCAAGAAAAGTAACGGACAGCTCATGCCAGGAGACTTAATATTCCAAGTGCATGTGATAGCAGAAGTTTGAAAACAAGCAAATACTTCCCATGGAAAAAATACTGATCATCCTAGCTGCTTAAAAGCTCCTAATTTCAAAAGTACTTACATAGATCCAAAGGCTGGAAGACAGGGGATTATTCAGAACCAAGGCAAAGATAGACTGACAGGTCTCCCACCACGTTCCTAGTGCAGCACTCGGACCTTGCAATGACTGGAGCAAAAGCCTTCTCCACTCAGGACGCTTGTAGGTACAAGATGCCCCAATTCATCATTGACAGTAAGCAGGAAAGACGTACCGATACAGAATAGAGGATAAAAGACCAAATAAAATACTTTGTTACTGGTGCGAATAACAACATTGTCCATGGGGCAGCTGGTGCGTTCTCGGTGCATAATCAAGGAAAAAGTTGTTTCACTGGGATATTCAAAGCTGGACAATTCCTGCTTTTGAAATTGTGTGAAAGTAACAGTAAAAATTCTTTTACCTGTCTAAACAACGTTGTTTTCTGTAACACTAGAATCAGCAAGAGTTACACTGCAAGAATGTACTGTAAATAAAGTGTGTGATGTAAAAATCTGTACTGGAATTCAAGCAGGCTAGATGTGTGATTGTATCTGTCAGTGAAATTGCTTCAGTGTGTAAAGCATTAGGCCTGTACTCACGTGTGTTCAAAGTAACAGTGGGCAGATGGGGTCTGTTCGCAGTAGTGCCTGTAGCGGACGTTTGGCAGAAGGCACAGAAGAGACCAGACCATTAGAAGATAGTTCTTTCCCTGACAAAGCTTCCTAACTTCCAGGAAACAGGAGTCTGGGACTTGGTAGGACAAAGAGGGTGTTTCTCTCACTGTGTATTAATAAATCGCAGGGGACTTGGGTTTTTTCCTATGAATCTGAAACCCATTCACATTGTTGATATCCAAGCACTCACGACAAGGAGCTCCAGATTTTCATTTCTCATAATGCAATCCTGCGTTGTTTGAAAAACTGCTTCTCTTTACTTGCTGACTCCCTGACAACTTAATCAGTGTCACCTAATTCCTG